CTCCATATATTAATGTAGGTTACTTGAGAATTTTTTGTGATTTTTAAAAATTAATTTCTCAATAAATATCTCGGTAACTGATATATTTTATTACAAAAAAAGAAACCTGAATATTTCGAAAAATCTAATTTTTAGTTTTTTTTTACTACATCTAATCCATGACTGATAGTATAATCCGAGAAATACTGCAAACGTCTGACTTCCTCGTAAGACTTTGAACAAATACTAACATTTAAAAATTTTATTTTCTCAAAAATTTGTCCGGTAAAGTATAATCTAAACCTCACTATTAGATAAATAAAGACCTTAACTATTAGAAAAAAATTGAATTTACTCATAATCTAAGATTTTTTATTTTACATTGGCGGCGAAAGGACCTCCTTAAATATGAAAATTAAAAATTAAAAAAATTCAGGTGCCTGTAGTATAGAGTATAGGTCAATGAACAATAATCCGTGGTCAAAAAATTTTTATTGCGATTTTTCAATAAGTTATTCATTAATTAATTAACAATGATTTGTAGCACGAACATTAACATTGCAAGTGCGATATTTTATTAAACTATTAATCTGAGAATATTTTCCTTTCGTGGAGCTATATTTGAAATTTCTTAAAATAGATTTCCGTTGGAATAATTGTTAATTTTCGTTTTGTTATTAACAATTTACTAAGAGGAAAAAAAATAAAGCTTTATTAAACATTGAAAAAAATTTCTAACTTCCCGCTAAGAAAATTGAAAATTTTCAAAATTCGGGAAGTTATTGTTTTTACCCCGTTTTTCGAAAATCGTGTTTTCATCAGATCACAACGTTTTGAGGTCCTAGGAACCTTCCCTGACTATTCCCGCGATGGTGTCACTATGTCTGTATGTGTGTGTGTGTGTGTGTGTGTTATGTTGAATTTTTTTATAATAATTTACTTGTTATAAAAATCTGAAAAATTGACATGAAAATTAAATTAGCCGAGATTTGAAAATTTTTATAATTTATCTTATTGAAAAATAATTAAAAAAAATTTTTACATGTAGAAAATTTTAAAAATTATCCGTGGAATTTTTAAAAAATAGTTTTTTAGTTCTAATTTTTTATTTATAAAAAAAATCAAAAATTTTTTAGTGTCGGCTAACTTAATTTTTATAAATTTATTTTAAAAATTCCATCTTTAGAAAATCTAAAAAATTATAAATGCTATTTTTTTAAGTAATTTTCTAGGCCTAGTTTATTATTAAAAATATTAATTAAATATGTCAACAATCTATAATTGTAATTTACAGATTTGGTGATGTTTGAATAAGTTGCTTTAATTATTTTTGGCTGGAAAAAAATTAACATTAAAATTTAAAGACATCTAAAAGTTTTTAAGAATTTTTTTTAGCTAATATTTACTATAAAGAAAATTTTTAAAAATTATAAATGAAAAATTTTTTTTTAGTAATTTTCTAGAAAAAAAAAATTATTTCTGCTTATGCAGTATAATTAATTTTGTTTTTATTTTGTCATTCTTCGTAATTAATTCTGTTGGTATAGAATAAATTTAATATTTCAATTAGTTTTTTTAAATTTTACAGAAAAGTTGGCCTTTTTTATGAGTCTTAAGTAGTTGACGTCTGACAGTTTTTTTTTTTACAAAAAAACTAATTGAAAAAAACTGAAAAATTATAATTTAAATAATTATTTGTTTTGATGTTTTACAACCAAGAATCGGTAAAATTATATTCAGGAATTATCCAGATACATTTAAATTGAAGCTGACATGCGATCATTATTAATTGTCAAATCACTGAACAAGAAGACAGTCATGCGTAAAATGAAACACATAATTTGATTAATTTTATCTTAAGACTGTTTGTAATTGTTGTATCAAGTACCAAGAAGGTATGACTACACAATGCGAGTCACACGCTTAAACTTCCGTGTTTGACTTGAATTATTTTCTAAAACCAAGTTGGAATTATTTGAACAACTAGTGTTGTTTTTTTCCAAATGGTTAGACATTTGAATGACGTCTGTTCAATGGAAACAAAATGACTAAAAAAGGTGGAAGTCTCTTAAGTGTAATTGACCAATTAGTGCGTCAATATGTTATATGAGAATTGATTACATTAATTCTTTATCGAAAATGTCTTTTTAATAAATGGTTACATGAAATTTAATCATAGAGTAACATCAATTAAATTGCATGTGCTTATCTGCTGATGTATGCGTTTAATTGTTGGCCATTGTATAACGACTTATGAAAATGTAAGGATAAATACTGAGAGGATAACATCATCCGGTGTGAAGAGAAAGTCAAAGTACACATCAGAGAATATTTATGATTCTAATTTTTGGCTAACGTGGTTTCTCTTTGTGTGAATTTACTTTTATTTACGCAGTTTGTTACCACAGTTTCTTTTGGAGGCTAAATGGGTCAATTTGCTTTTTGATAGATTTTTTTACTGGCTAAATAAATTTATACAAAACCGTTGCTTTCAGAAGCTGTCAGATGAGATTAATTCAATAAAAATCGACGGTACTTAACATTTTAAATTTCTTTTTTATCAAATTACAATACTGGATTTGTATATGACTACCGTTTTTTATAATTTTTAGTTTGTCAAAGAAATTTTTAACAATAGAATGGTAGAAAAAAATTTCTCTAATTCAATAGAAGAAAAATAAGTTGAAATTTTATTCAATAGATGATTAATTTTTAAAGATTAAAAATAATTGTAATTTAAACTAGTCAATTTTTTTAAATAATTTATGACAAATTAATTTTTATTTTATGAAAATTAAGTTAGCTGACATTTCAAAATTTTTAGAAATTTTTTATGGCAAAAATTTCAATTAAATAATTTTAAAAAAAATTGTCACATTTAAAAAACTTGAAAAACTATAAATGCAATTTTTTAAAAATATCTTTTTAGTTGTAATTTAATTAAAAAAAAAAAAATCAAAAATTTTTAGACGTCTGCTAACTTCAGTGTCATTTTATTTTGCATTATTCAATTTTTAGAATGAGAAAAGTTGATATACTGGGTTTAAAAACTATTATTTAGTAAGTCAAGGTGAACTGACGACTTTTTGAAACAAGAAAATTATTAAGTAATAATATGTAAATAAAATTACAAAGTGCAGAAATGGGTTAAAAAAATGACCTAAATCAAGAATCTGAGCAGGTTCATACCATATCTATTTTGAATCTGATAATTGATAATGAAACATTAATTTGTTTTATGTAAATAAATTTAAAATATTTTTTTTTTTACGAACATAAATATTCATAAAAATGTATCTTTAGATTTTAATCTTTTGGTTTTAATTTTATGTGCTTTGTTGCAATTTTCGAAGTAAAAAGTCTATAATTATAGAGTCAATTATAAGCGATAGTTTAATGTAAGTCTTAAAAAAATTAAATTGTTTTTAGAAACGATTTGATGACTCACTAATCTGATTTTCATAAATAATGTTTTTATGGAATAAAAAAACATTCTAATAAAAAGTCAATAAGACAAAAACTGTAAATTAGTAACTATACACGTGTCATAAAAATAACAAGAAATAATAATAAATCATCGCGAATTCTCATTAATTTTATCTTAAGCGACTTTGATGGTTAGTAATCTAACAAACTTCCGCGTTCACATGAATTTCATAATATATAAACACTCTGAATTATTTGTCAACGTGTAAATTTTATCAACAAGTATTGGAGATAAAAAATGTCTGGATTTGTCGCAAATATGGTCATATATTTACTTAAAACAACTTTTTAAGTGTCTCTTATAAATGGAAGTTATTTTCTTCCTTCATATCGTAGTATAAATATAATAATAATAAATAGTTTTATTTGCACGATTTTCGTCTCTTACAAAGTTTTTACATATATTGTCATTGTATGTTAATTGTATATATTATTTCTCTTTCTATTTGATCTTTCTATTTTTCTTTTCTTTTCTTTTTTTTTTTCCTCTTGTTTGCACGTCGTTGTTCTGGTGACCCTCCTCCCCCAAACTCCGCAATCCTGTTTTTTCCCTTAGGATCTCTTCAATTTTTCTGAAGACCGTGCATGCTCTCCCGTCTATTCTTCCCTTTAGTACTTCTATTAATCTTTCTTCAACCTCTTCATTTTCTAAATTTTTCCATTCATTTAAAAAATTCTTTCCTTCTTCTCCAACTTTTTCATATATTTCTTCACATTTCATTATATGCATCACGGTTCGTAGTATAAATATATAAAAACATATAAATCTCTACATTATAGTATATATTTAAGGTATTATGAGATAACCAGACTATAAATAAAATTTTTATATTTTATCCCTTCTTTTTATTGTTTACGGACACGATCCGCGTTGCCGGTACCGCTCACGATGATGTAATCGCGTATCGCATTAGGCAGAAGAGAAATGAACATATTAATAGTTACGTCGATTTATATTGCGGAGAGTTTATTGTATAATAATGTGAAACAAAGTTACTGCCGGTAAAAGGTGTGCGCTTTTCTGCAGGTAACCATTAGACCGCAACGCTGTTCAGTGTAAACCCGTATCGCCGATCTTTCTTAATGGTTAAATGCTAATTTAATTATTTTCCTCGATAATTAACGACCTGGGCAGTCGCATCATTTACCTAAAAATAAAAAAATAGTTAATTGATATTATATGTTATATCACAACCTGGTCCTAGTCCTAGCTTGTAATTTATACTGCACTTATTAATAATCATTTTCAGTTTAAAGTCTTAGCCGGTTTTTCTGAACAAGATAATTACAGTTTCGGCGCAAAAAGTATTGAGCAAATATAAGCTAACTACCCTGACGATGACGATTCAATATTGCCTGGCCTTTTTTTGATCTAAGAGTCCATTAGTCACTTGTCATTAATTACTTGCTGTTTGTTGGATAAACAAATACATTTATTTTTATTTTTACATCTGTATGAATGCGTCTATTTGTGTATGCAATTGTACAGTGTTAGAAGCAAATTTTTGTGAAAATAATTTTAATTTTTTAATATTATGTCTAGTAATAAATTTATTTTTTAAAAAATTTTTTGACTAGGTAAATCATAATTTGTAATAATTATAAATTAATTTAATATAGTTTTATAAACTCAGCTATGTAAAAATTTATAATATTGAATTTAACAGACATCTTTCAATTTTTTGGATTTCTATAACTAAATTGTTATAAAAAAATTACAAGTGAAAATTTTTAAAAAATATTTTATTTTATAATTCATTTGTAATATAAACTAAAAAAAAATTGTAAGGAGTCTGCTGATTTTAGTTTCATAGAAATTTACTATAAAATTTCTATTATTTATTTAATATAAAAAATTACTATAAAATTTTATCTGTAATTTTGTAAATTTAGTCTACTAAAGTTTGATTCTTCTTATAAGATCCATTTTTTTATTTTACCGTGATTTCATTTTGTAATTTTACCATTGTGTTAAATATATAATCAGCTAAATTTTGAAGCATATTATTACGCATGAATTATAAATTTTTTTGGTAGACTCAATATTTAATTTTGTTTGTATTCTAAAATATAAAAAAAATTTTTTTACAGTGTAATTACAACTATTTATTTTTTCAGGCCCACAAAAGCTATGGTACCAATGAAAGAAGTTTTCACGAATTCGAGGATCGGCAGTCCCTCTTCTATCGCTTGGCTTTATCTGCTGGCTGAATTTTTCATTGGAGTGTTGCTGTCTACAACGCTTTTTTTTTTAGGAATTATCAAATCACTTTTACCTAAACCACCGCGGGACTTGACTGGTGATATTGTTTTGGTAGGAAGAAATATTTATTGCCAGAGTTACAAGTTTAACTAAAAAAATTCAAAGAAGAAATATAAAATAGTTTTTTATTAAGCATGCGATAAAAAATTTGTGGGTCTTTTTTTATCAAATGGTTGATGAAGGATAACTTATCCAACAGTTGATAAAAAAATAATTTAAGGAAAAAATATTTTTACATACATAAACATATATTTATCAATAAAAAAAATGCAATCGATTAGATTTCTAACTCATGAAAGTAGTCAGTTAATTTTTACCAAGATTTAATTGAAAAATTATTTGGCATTTTAAGTGAATGAATTACGTAATTGAAACTACTTTTACTGGTTTAAAAAACTTTTTAAAGTCTGCTAGTAATTACCTCAATTTACAACAGAGAAAAATGTATAATTAATTTCCGAGAACTCTGTATATAGTCATTGTTTTTATACTTTTCTACGTCCTTGGAAATTACCATATTAGCCTCGACTCATTTCCGTTTGTAATTTAGGTAATGATTATAATATTAAAATCAAACAGATCTTTAGCCGATTTTTTCCTGAGAATTAAATGTATTTTATTGCTTTACTAAACAATATATTTATATTCTCTGAAATAAATTTTAAAACCAGGTAAATAATAATTTACTAAAATACCTATTTTTATAAAATAATAATAATTATTTTCAATTCAACCTCCTTACTCAGGAGTCTTTGTAATTAGTCGCATGTCCTTGTGTGCTAAAAAACAAACAAAAAATCGCCAGTTAATTACCTCTCTAAAATAAAATCTATTGTGATTAAAATCAGCTCAGACGTGTGAGCTCATCTTTAGTAAAAAATGAACTTAAATTACATTTTAAAATTTTCTAGATAACAGGTGCGACCTCACCTCTGGGCAGGTGTCTGGCCACGGAATTTGTAAGAGTCGGGTGTACGATTGTCTGCGTTGACCATGACCTCGAGCTGGTGAGAACTACGGCCTGCGAGCTGGAAGCCAACTACCCGGCGATCCAGAGTCTTAGCCCGGAGCACAGGAAACAGGATGTCGTCGAGTTCAAGGGCAGGGTCTTCGCCTACGCCTGCGATCTTTGGGACCGAAACTCAATTCGTAACGTTGCTCAGAAAGTTAGAGAAGAAATAGGACCACTTGACATACTTGTTACATGCGCAGGTGACTCTAATCAAAATATTCTCGACACTGTCAATAATACTCTGATGAGTCATTACTGGGTGAGTTTTATAGTTCTTCTTTTATTCATTATTATTATTATTAATAATACAAAAATGCTCTATCTCTAGATACATAATTAAGAAATTACCTTGTATCTTGTGAACTATTGACATTTTTGAAGATATAAGCTCATCCCGATGTTACACTCATCAAGACCTTTCATTTAAGTACCCACATCAATTTTTCATATATTTATATATATTATATATATGTATATATGAAAAATATATCAAAATGCATGTGGGTACTCAAATGAAAGCTCTTGATGAATGTAACGTCGGGATGAGCTTATATCTTTAAAAATGTCAATAATTAAGAAATGACCTCATATCTTGTGCATGATTGACATTTTTAAAGATATAAGCTCATCCCGATGTTACACTCATCGAGACCTTT